TATGGGCAATCCATGAGAGTTCAGATGGGAACAGGACTCTCTTGGGAATTAGACTAAAAGACGTTCATGTTAAATTTTGACAAAGAATTGTTTGTGTTTTGTCTATGTCTTAATTTTTTTTTAATTTGGAGAAAATGGACTAATTGATTTGGCAGCAGAAATTTTAAGAGACACTACTAATTCGGATATGATGCCATCACCATCACTGGTTGATGTTAATGAAGTTTATAGTGAAAATTAAAAACAAAAAGCATTGCAGAAGGATCTGAAAATTTTCCTCCCTGGCCAGAAAAAAAAATGAACAAATTAAAAATTGTGGTCAATAAAGTGGTCACTGCCATTAAAGAGAAGCCAAACTCTTTGTACTGGGACAAAATGAAATTGGCCAGACCACACCCACCACTGGATCAAAGGTATGAAATGGCAAAGTCACGTGAAAGACCTTTTCCTGAAAGGAGAGATCCACTGAGATACTTTATTTGAAAAGGCACTCACAGGAAAGTATTTTCCCAGCTTCTGCCACCCTGGCATTCACAGAGCACTGCAACCAAAGGTGAACATGTAATGGACAGGCCAAGCTCTGTCCACTGGATTGTTGGTCAACAAGCATTAGGAGGTATGGACTTGTTGGAGAAAGTGTATCACTGGGAAGGGGGTGTCTTTGAAGTTTTAAAAGTCCATGTCAGGCCCAACCTCTCAGCCTGCTGCCTGCCCATCTGTGCATCAGAACATAGCTGTCAGCTACTTTTCTAGTCCGATGTTTGTCATGCCTGCCTGCCTGCCATGCTCCCTGCTATGGCCTCATCCATGAGGTACGTGTTTTGTGGAAACACAGAATGCAGGAGCTGCGAAGTGACTGAGGCTTCTCAAGTTTTTGAGAATTGGTATAAGGGGCATGGTTCTCTAAAGAGAGGCCCTTAGAGTGTAATGAATGAAGTCGTGAGTGTGGGGCCTAAGCTGTAATGTAACCTTAGGATGATAGAGATCCTAGAAATGTAGAATATCCACCAATAATAGCTATAAGCTACAAGCCAAGCTGGCCCAAGAAAATGGCCAAGTGGAGTGCAGATGTTAAGAAACCAAACTTGTAGGAACTTATGTCAGAACATCACTTATTATGAATGTTGGTTCTATGGTGGTTTGACTAAGAATGGTTTCTATAGGCTCATATGTTTGAATGATTAGTCACTAGGGAGTGGAACTGTTTGAAAGGATTAGAAGGATTAGGAAGTGTGGCCTTCTTGGAGAAAGTGTATCACTGTGGGTTGGCTCTGAGATTACAAAAGCCATGCCAGGCTCAATCTCTCTGCCTGCTGCCTGTCTATCTATGGATCAGGACGTAGCTCTCAGCTACTTTTCCAGCCCTATGCCTGCCATTCATGCCACCGTGCTCCCTGCCATCATGATGATGAACTAAGCCTCTGAAACTGTAAGTAAGCCCTTAATTAAATGCTTCCTTTTATTACGGTTGCCTTGGTCATGTTGTCACTTCACAGTAACAGAGCACTGACTAAGACAATGCCCATCTCTTTTCTATGCCTCAGTTTGGACACTGTGTACCACAATATACTAGAGGTATCCAATTTTCTTTTTATCTTGTAAAATTTAAATATAAGTATCAGAAGAAATTTGGTAGCATCTAGAATTTGGATTAAATGCATTTTCTATTATGGGATGGGCATCAGCTTTTGAAGGCTCGGGGTAGAATACTATGGCTTGAATATATAATGTCCCCTATGGATTCAGGATTTGAGTGCTTAGTCCTCACATGGTAATATTATTTTGGGAAGACCTGGAAACTTAGGCAGTAGGAAACCTGGGAGAAGTAGACCCCTAGGGATGTGAAAGTGTGTGCATGTGCCCTTGGTGACCAGAGGCCAACCCTGAATGTCTTGCTATATCAGTCTTATGTTTTGGGGGTTTTATTTGTTTGTTGGTTTAGTTTGGTTTTTTGAGACAGGGTCTTTCACTGACTCCAGAGCTCAGCAATTGGCTAGACTGGCTGGCTAGCTGCACCTCTGTCTCAACTTACCAATGCTGGGATTGTAGGATATTTGCTACCATGAACAGCTTCCTACATGGGTAAGGTATTTCCAAAGTCAAGACCTCATGCTTTGTCTGGCCCACCTTCCCAACCCCAGAGGCATTAATTGATTATCAATGCTAAGCTGAATTTTAGGACACAGAATCTTTGTGGGACCAACAACTGCATGACTATATGATCATCTCCACTTTTAACAGTGAAGAGGCTCAAAGCCGGAAACAAGAACTGGGAAAAATTCAAACTGACACCATCTGGCTCCTACTCCTGGGCCCTTAGAAACTTCTGCAAACCGTGTAAAGTCCCGCTTTTACTTTCATGGTAAGTCACCTTTGTAACTAATTTCATAACAAAGACAAATGTTGATGCAGAGCCAGGACGACATAGAAGAGACTGAGGGATGGCGCTACATCAGCCTGACACGCCACACGTTGTGTCTCACTAGGTAAAACATGGCCAAGTTCTCCTCAGCGCTGGAAAGGGTTGCTGTTGATTCACAGGAGCACCAGATGAAGCTTTTGGCTTGCCTTCAGGAGCCATGTTGTAACAAAAGCGAACCTTCTCTGAAAACATCAAATCCACACTCAGCCAAGCGAGACACACATCGTGCTGAAGCAAACCTGCCAAGCTCACGCCTCTTAATTCCCCAGCCACCATTTTCCCCCCTCTAATGGAAGCCCAACGTGTGTCCATTATTCCTACCTGTCTCCCAAGGACTCTGGAAGGGCAAGTACAGGCATGTGCTGCAGAAAACTTAACAGAGCCCACAGCAGTAAAGTGAAATCCCAAATCAATTTGTCACATCACCTTTATGCTTGCTTTATGTGGCCAACATTTACATCAATGTGGCATCTGTACATATTATCACAGAAGCCCAGGACCACCTTAGAAATGTCTGGTTTAATGCCACCGCAAAATCCGTAAAGAACTGCTCACACAGGGAGCTCACATGTCCCCAATGTAACCTTTTCCATGTTGGACTTAAGACATTTCCATTGTTTAACGGTCTGATTTTCAGATTCTTTATAATCTTCTTTCACTGACTCGAGCAATGTCTTTTGCAGCCACAAAGCAGGTAGCCCTCCACGTGATGCTTTGGATACTTGAAGGCAGCCATCATATCCCCTCTCATCCTAAGAACAGTCCTCATGTACCATTCCAGGCACCTGCCACGACATATGCAAAATTCATCAGGGTAGCAGGATCCAACCTGCCCACAGATTAAGTTCTTCTCCTGAATAGTCTTTTCTATCCTGGGAAACAGCTGCCTATGTATTATAGCAAAATGGGGTCAGTAGTGCCTCAGATGTGTTGATTTTGTTGACATAAGAGAAAGATTGTAAAAGTCTACTGCTATATTAATGCCAGGAAAAGAAACCCAATGGGAAAAAAAATTGTCCACCCACCTGGATCCACCTGTTTCACTTTCTCAGCAATTCATTGATGAAGTTCTGTGTTTTGAAAAAGTAAGTTTGATCAGTGTTTTCTCTTGTGGGGCATGGTGCAATGTCCTAGCTAACGGACCCCATCCCGAAGTCACCAAGGTTTCTGCCACCTTTATTTTAAAAGTTTATTATTTTTAAAGGCCTCAGTGTGAGTTTCGGATTTGTTGTGAGTTGTGTGAAGTTCATCAAATTCTCTGTGGAAGTTTAGTATTAGAAGCATCAGTGCTTCTCTTTCATTTTTTATTATTATATGTTATATACTAATATAGTATATAGTATATAATATATAGTATATAATATATAGTATATATAGTATATAGTATATGTTAATTATACAATGTTTTTCCTTCCTTTTCTCCTTCCATCTTCTCTTCCTTCCTTCATTCTTTCTTTCCCTCCTTTCACACATTCTCTCATGTATCCCTACGTTGTCCCTGAACTTGCTATGTGGATGAGGATGGCCCTGAATTGTTGATCCTCCTGCCTCTACATTCTGAGTTCTAGGATTACAGACTTCATGCCCACCCAAGTGACGGATTGTATTCTATTGTTTCCTTATGTGCATATAACACACTCAGATCACTTCACCTCCCCTGCAGCTCTTTGCTACTCACTTTCGCCCCTCTCTTGCCTTTAGCCATCCTTTGTCATCTCTCTTGTAATCTCATGCCTTTCCTTTTTTCCTTAACGTTTGCAAATGAGACAAAACATGACAGAATAAACTGATGATCATCATGTTGAGGTAGTGAGTCCTCTATGAGTATACAATGTTTAACGTTGACCATCAGCCAATATTTGAAATCTCTCCAAGCCTTGTGTTCAGGATTGTACATCCCTGAAATTCAAAACACTAAGACATTTCAAATACCAGGAGATAATCATTAATATCATGTTAGTTCTCAAAAAAAAAAAAAAAAAAAAAAACAAACCTGTAACATGGTAAACCCATTAACCTAACAATAGTTCAGTACTGAAAACAGAGCAAGGTCATCTCACCAATAGCTCTAACAGACTCAAAAAGAAAGGGGGGGGGACAACCGCTGAGCTTTCATAATTCCATGCTTCCAGAAGACTAGTGGCTGAGTGATTCCTCTCTCTCTGCAACCTGCCCTAAGTACTCTCTGGGCCTACAGTGGCAAGGATGTGCAACAGACACAGGCTGGAATACACTATGAGAGACCTACTTATGGTTTGTCACTAAGAGTAGACAAGTTTAAAACTAAGGTGTCGGAAGAATTATTCATCGTCATAGAGGAAGATGGGGAAGATGCTGAGAGGGCTTTTAATGAGCCTCCCTTGGTGGGAATATACGTTAAAAAGAATACTTGGATATAGGAATTGGAGAGTATGGACGTAAGTAAGCTCATTTTCCTGAAGGCTGAGAGGTGTACAAGGTCACACTGATTGTGAACAGTGTGTATTTGTGAAGCAGTGTTTTGTTAATTGTTAGTGGATCAATAAACATGACTTTCCCAAAACACTTGAACTAGAGGAAAGAGACCAACATGTTAGTCAGAAATATAGCTTTATTATCATAGTATTTCATAATCTAAAAACTTCTTTTTTTTTCATTCTGGGAACAGAAATATTCTAATGTCTATACAGTTGACTGGCCCTGTGGAATACTGGAATACAGCCTCCAAGCAAGCCACACTTACAGATAGGAATCTTTTCTTAGTCTGGGGGTTGAGGGAGAGGAACAGTTCAAATGAAGATCTTTTCTCCTTACAAAATAGATAATAAAATTCAATTTATACGTCAGTTAGGCCTTGATTATGGTTTCCCAGAAACTTTGGTGATTTATTTTAAAAGCCCACTGCCTCAAATCTAAGGTTGATTGTCTCAGGGGACAAAGAAAAAAATCTGAAGATAACACATAAATGGACCTTGGCCATGGTGTGGGTGAATGATCTCTCCTACGAGCCAACTCCCATACTTAAATAGCTGATATGTCTCTAGGACGTCTGCTGTACTTAATGTATTTCCTCGAATGGGGGGTCAGAATCCAGTTGACACTCAGAAGAATTTTTAAGTCTAGTAAGTCAATCTCAAAACTATTTATCTTGTGTAATGTATATAGGGGTAGATACAACATTATGGTGCTTTCCAAAGGTGAATATATACCACTGTCAAAGAGGGCTGTCATTCCCTCTAGGCATGTTAAATAAACACCCAAAATGACTTACTTTAAATGAAATGGGGAACAGATCTGGCTATGCTATCTTCAAAAACAAGCTGTTGTCATTCACACACACTGTAGGACAGGGAGCATGCAGCACTTTTTTTCAGTACGCAAAAAGCCAAAGTGCAACCATGACAAAAGCATCAATGAGAAGTAACTATGGGGGACATTTCTTATCCAAACGAATAATAACACTACAGGTTTCACAATGCCAGCCTGAACAGTGATATCCACAGCCATGTTTTTTACCCCACCTGGAATCTGCCCACACACCACAAGGAAGCCCGGTCCCCCGTAAGCCAGAAGTCACTGAAGACTCAAACAGCAACCTTTCCACGAGGACAGGTTCAAATCTCTGAAAATGATGAGTTCTCCTTTTCAATTTATTGGCATCCTAAGTAACTGCTTTGTTATCAATCTTACTGTAATATTCAGATACTTGTTGCAATAACAATAATTCTACTAGTGTTAAATAGGTTAAAGTCTTAATTCTTAAAGTAAAGGAATTAGATTTACAGAAACAAAGCTATATAGTTTTAAAGCCACCCACCACAAACGCACACTTTCTCCATGAGTATTTAAAAATAAACTATTCATATACTTGACATATATATATATATATAGTGTATGTATTATATATGTATATACTTACGGACAACAATATTCCTGTTTTAGGAAGGATGTCAGCATATATACACTCTACAGACCTAGTGGTAATGCTCAAATTGAGGAAAAATATGAAAATTCCTTCTAGTGGAGAATTTGGAAACAGAAGGTTCTTGAAAGTTCTTTTATGGGCACGATGGCATTTGGGGAGGAGCGTATCAGAGGCCAGACCCTACATGCATCCCTGGTTTTTGAAATTACAGTAGAATGTACTGTACAATGAACACCCCAGTTGTGTGGCTGACAGGGAGGACCATGTCCACCAGTCATAGAAGCAACAGGAGGTGAGGTGAGCTTCCTGGTGGAAAGGGAAGACAGCAAGGGGAAGGGCATGCCCACGCTTAACAGAAAGCAAGCTGGGGGCACTTCCGGGGAAGCAGGTGGCAGCAGAAAGCTGGCCGTCCCTGCAGCGTGGCCAGGACGCTCCTGGGATACTGGATATGACCTCCTCCAGGATGCTCCTGGGATACCGGAGGTGCCCTCCTCTGGCACATGAAGCACTTGGGCACCACATTCATGATGCTGCTGACCCCAAGGGTTTTAGCAGCTGTCCAGAGGCTGGTAGACAGCTCTGGGTGTGCAGCGTGCTTAGCCAGAGGAGGTGGGCAGGGTGCACCCAGATCTGAATAAATGTGTTCTGAAGGACCCCACATGGGAATCAGACAAACCCAAAAGCCACTTGGCAACGTGAGATCTGAGGTCTAACTGAACAGATCCCGAAAGCCACCTGGGGATTAAAGTCACCGGATTCATTAACGAATTCACCGGAATCCTCAGGGGTAACAGGAGCCTTTATCATAGAGACTTTCAAATGTATCAGAGGGAGTCTACCCACAAACACACAACATGAAAACCTTTTATTTCACTGCTCTCCACAAGAAATTTAGACTCCCAGCTGGGTGTGGCAGCACACACCTGTACTCCCAGAACTCAGGAGGCAGAGGCAGGAGGATTACTGTAAGTTCAAAGCTAGCCTGGTGAATATACCAAGTTCCAAGCCAGCCAGGGCTACATAGCATAGCAAGACCCTGTCTCAAAACATCAACAATAATAATAATGATAATAATAATAATAATTTTTAAGTAGAAGAACTTCACAGTCACATTCCTTGCCTCATAATTCAGAGAGAGCAGTGAACACCAAAACCTGGCATCTTGTGTGGCCCAAGTACTAATGGCCACTATGTAGAATGCCAAGTGCCAGGATGGTGAAAGACTGGGCCAATTATTCTACAAGTTACAGGTCCGTGTTTACCAGAGCTATAAAATGAGAGTGTTTCAACTTTTACTTTACTGTTTTTTGTTTGTTTGTTTGTTGTGTAATTTGCCTCGCTTGCACCTAAAAGGAGATTGAAATAAAATCTTGGTTCACTGAGATCCCCTGTGTCAAATTCTTGTTAATCAGTGTGTCCCTATGTGTCATGTTTCTTGCCCTCCTGCTAGGACTTCCTACGGCGACATGTTCAAAAGGACAACACTGTCGGGCCCCTGGAGCCCCATTCCGCAAGCCCCGTGGTGATCTCCGAGCCACCCACGCTCTAGACGCTATTCGGAGCCACCCACGCTCTAGATGATGTTCACGATGGCGGTAGGCTTCTTTTTAGCCATTTTAGGCCTGAAGTTGCCTTTACGGCTCAGGCCCAGGTGCTCCACTTTCTTAGCTGGTCTGAAGGATTCTCTCGGAGACTCCATCTGTTCGTGAATGACCTTGGCAGGCAGCAGCCCAGCTCCTCGTTCATCCTTGGCTTTCTTCAGATAGCTCCTCCCCTTTAGATGGAAATGGGCCCTCAGCTCCGGGTGGTTACATACAGAATGTGGGTGCCCTCGGCTTCTAGAGGGGTCCGGGAGAGGAACATACAGAGAGAGAGGTTTCTTTATAACTGAGAGAAAAATAACTAGCCACTCCTGCCCACCACAGTGACCACGCCCCTGCCACAGATACTCGTATCGCAATCCGTGACAGTTCCTGCAACTGTGTGATGCTAAATCCCAGGGAGATATTACTAGCCCTGTAGGATGGAGCTCACACCTCTTAACTCTTCAGGAGCTCACCAGGAGACTCAGCAAAAAGCGTTGTGTACATATTTTAAACTATGTGGCATATAAATACTGCATCTTGAGTAATAATAATACTATATATCACATAAATGTGTCATATATAATACCCTGAGACCATCAGTCCAGCAATGCTATAGTGCCACCCACTGAGCAGCTGCTACCTATTTAAAAGTGGCAGCAGCATGCAGGTTCACGGAAGCCTTTAAAAAAAATCCCTGTGTCGATAGCTTATCAAATGCAACAGGAAAACAGACAACTTAAACATTACCCAATGGCCCAAGTATAAAAAAAGATGTACGTACAGGCATCTGGGCTTCCTATTCAATGAGATGTCTGTGAGCTGATGGGAAACAAGTAGGAGAAAAACGTCAGTTCACTGGAAGGCTAGATGGGACTCATGTATACGTACGTGTGGGGTCAGGGGAGGGGGTGAACGGATTATTCAGTGTCTGTGTGTCTGGGGGGGAGGGATTGCACTTAGCCCAGCATGTGCACACAGCAATTAGAGAAGGACATTGGCCATATTTATTCCTCTTTTAACCTCTACCTACTGTCTCAAGACAGAGTCTCTCCCTGAACGTGGAGCTTACTGTTAGGCTAGCGGCCAGTAAGTCCTCAGGATCTGTCTGCCTCCTTCACCACCACCCCTGCAGTAATGGGGTTACAGATACACACGGCCATGCTCCACGCTTTATGTTGGTCCTGAGGTCCTGAACTTGGGTCTTCATGACTGCACAGCAAGCAATTTACCCATGGACTCATCTCTCCTGCTCCTGGACACAGTTCTAAATTCGGTGTTTAAGAAGGCACCGAATCCTTACTAAGGAGGTCTGTAATCAGCTGATGGCATTACCCAGGGAGCCCTCCATTACATCAGAGAACAAGAGTGTCCCAGATTGGCTTATTCAGTGAGCCTCTCCGAACACCTGTTCTCAGTTTTTCAAGAAATTTGGGAATGTGTCAAAACTTCCCAAAAATTAAAAAATGGAAAAATTAAAAAGCTTCTCAAAAATCAGGGTTTGGGGAGGGGGGGAAACCCTGTTTCTAAAACCTGGCACAATGTGTCATTATTTCTCAGGATCTGGCTCTATTTGCTGCTGATTTAATACAGCTGTAGCTAGTCACAAAGTACCAACTAAGGGGAAATGAGCATCAAATGTTATTTCCTAAATATATCATTTCTAAAATGAGAACATATGAAGACCAACCCGACAAACATCCCTAAGGCCATCTACCATCAAGATGATGTCCATTTCAGGCAATAAAATATCTGCCTGTACTTTGTGGCCAGGCTCAGAGTGCCTTCATTGGGAGCATGAGTTGATGACTATAGTATTGTGATCCAGATGTCATCACTCTACCTACGGGGAAGCCCAGAGTACTGGCAGCCCTACTGCTCCCAACTGCCCTCAAACAGCTCTCACCAGGATGAAGCCATGTCACATCTTTAGGCAGATTTCAAAAAAAGAACAATGAAAAAAGTGAGAGGGATGATACTCCAATCAAGGACCATTCATGGATATAACCCAGATCCCCTGCTCAGATGTAGCCCATGGCAGCTCAGTATCCAAGTGGGTTCCCTAGTAACGGGAACAGGAACTGTCTCTGACATGAAATCAGTGGCTGGCTCTTTGATCATCTCCTTCTGAGGGGGCAGAGTAGGTAGCAGCCTTGCCAGGTCACAGAGAAAGACAATGTAGCCAGTCCTGATGAGACCTGATAGGCTAGGGTCAGAGGGAAGGGGAGGAGAACCTCCCCTATCAGTGGACTGGGGGAGGGACATGGGAGGAGATGAGGGAGGGAGAGTGGGATTGGGAGGGAATGAGGGAGGGGACTACAGCTGGGATACAAAATGAATAAACTGTAATTAATATAAAAATAAAAATTTAATTAAAAAAATGTGAGGGAAAGGCCTACTTGGAATTCGGACCGGGGGGGATTATGACATGGTTAGTATCAGTGGGTTCCAGATCTCCTCAGGACACCAAGAGCCATGAATGCACAAGCCTCTTGTACAAGGCGCTGTAGTGTTTGAATATGACCTGCACACCCCTACCTCCCACATATCTACAAGGCGCAGCCAACCTTTCGACGTTGCAACATGATGCTGTCATCTGCAAAGTTCACATTAGCAAACTCAAGTTATGAAAACACACACACACCCCACACAATATTCCAGCTACTACGTTCACAGGGATTCTCAGCTAGAGTATGGCCATGGGCTGGGCACACCTGTGAGTCTAAATCATCATTAAGTTGTTTGCAATACCTAATAGGGGGTAAAGGATGCACAAGGAGCTCTTATAACATTATGTCAGAATAATGGAGCCGGCTGGACAGTGGTGGTACACGCCTTTAATCCCAGCACTCAGAAGGCAGAGGCAAGTAGATCTCTGTGAGTTCAAGACCAATCTGGTCTACAGAGTGAGTTCCAGGACAGCCAGAGCTACACAGAGAAACGGTCTCAAAAAAAAAATATTAATACTACTAATAATAGTAATAATAATAATAATAATGGGTCTGGAGAGAAGGGACTGCTGGGACCACTGCAGGAGAGGGGTAGAAAGATTCTAGGGGCCAGAGGAAAAGGAAGTTGGCTGTGAGACTGTATCTATTAGAAATCTAATTAGACTGTATCTATTAGTCAGCAAGGCTATCCCCATGAAGTCTCATCAACATGGCTGCCTAAACATGACCTGAACCACTATGATGCAAATAGACAGGCTAACATGGAAGGGGGAAAAAACATAGACTCGCAATCCTAGACGAAGAACTATGGGCAACTGGGGAATGCTGAGAGATGGAAGAGCACATCACCTGGCTATCTAACACCAAGTAATCAGTCCCGAATTCAGCAATACAGCAGCCAATATACAAGCTGAGCATACTATGTATGTATGCTATACAATACCTATGTATTTAAGATATAAACATACCTATGGTCATACGTATTGTAAGAGACAGGAAAAAAAGGAAGTTGGCTGTGAGACTGTATCTCTTAGAAATGTCAGTAAGGCTATACCCATATACACATTTACATTCATATATATATATATACACACACATACGTATATACGCATAATTAAAGAAAAAGCAGCCATAAATTTGAGAGACAGCAAGACATGGGAGGAATTGGATGGAGAAAACGAAAGCAGGGAAAAGATGTGACCACATTATGATTGTCTTAAGAAGGGGCACTCACTGCTCTTCCAGAACACCCTGGTGGTTCCTGGAACCCACCCGGTGACTAACAGCCATCCCTGTGGTCCAGTTCCAGGGGACCCAATCCACACGCATGGTGCACATCTATCCATGCACACACATACTCACACACATAAAAAGAAGAACAATCAAATATTTAAAAATAATAACAAGAGCGGTGCATTCCTTCGATCCCACCAGCGGTGGATAGGTTGGTTTCTGTGAGTTCCTAGCGGGACTGGCCGACATACTGCATTTAGGCCATCCAGAGCTAATAACAATAGTAGTAATAATAATGATGGTGATGATGGTGATGATGATGATAACAAATCTATATTTATTGAGGTTTTTTTTTTTTCCAAAATACTTTGGATGTGCTGGTGGCCAGACCCCTGGTAACGGAGCCTAGACATACAGGTTTTTAAATTATAGGCATACTGTTCTGAGATACCACAGGTCTGGAAGAACTGGTCACTCACCACTTCTTAAGTTTTGCGGAAATAACAGCCCCATCCACCCTCCTGTTCAGACCAAGACCTCCAGGTCATTCCTGATGCCCCTGTTCCTCCCCATCTCAGTGTGACCCTCCAGCAGTTCCTTCCTGATCCCCTGTCCCTCACATGCTCTCGGTGTGACCCCAGCTGTACCCAACGGCCTCTTCAGCTCCACTCCAAGGTGTGGTCCTCAGCTATCCTCTGTTCTCCTCTGCTGCTTCCTCCCAGCCCCTACCTCTCACCTCCTATCATAATAGCCTCTAACCATCTCTCATTCTGACACCCTTCCAACCCAGAAGCCTTCTCACAGCTTCCTCGTGCACTAGGAATATGTGTAAACTCCTCTCGTAATCTGCAACTGTCTGTCTTTGCCTCCTACCCCTCAACCATGCTGCCCATGTTTACACTTATGCCATGTTGTCCTTGCCTAGAACGCCCTGCTTCTAACTTTCCACAGAGCTGATATCCAGGTCACAGGGCAGGTGTGGGAGTCTTTCCATTCAGGGGCCCCAAGCAGCTACCCACCCTGAAACATTTGTCATCTTTCACTGTCTTTGCAGTAGTTACCGTCTTGAAAGAATGCCATTATTGATTTGCTGGCTGTCCCCTCCACACAAGAGAAAAGGGACCTTGTTTGCCTTTGCTCATGGAATAGGCACCTCATAAGCACTGTGCCCTCAGTAAGTAAGTGTGAAGTGAATTACTCCTAGTCCTCAATTAGCAGCCAGGAGGAAATGAATGCAGTACTTAAGACAAGATTATCCAAGCTGTTTCAACAATCCTCCATCTGAGTGGTTCTGAGGATGATTTTCTGGCAGATGGGCTATTAGGTCACTTTGTGTCTAATTTGACAGCATTTTTCAGAGCACAAAGATAAAATATCTGAGTAAGCATACTATATTTTTAGAAATCAGCCAGGTGCAAAAGAACAAAAATGCTCAAGGGGATCTGGGGAAAGATGCTGAATGCCAGACATTGTTTCAGAAAAGGCACAAAAGGTGAAGGGAAGGAAAGCGTTCCACAGCACAGAAGGACACAGCACTAATAGTCACGTTCTGGAAGAGGCAGCCCACTTAGCAATGCGAGGACTATCCTTCTCTCTGGAGTGTTTCTAGGGGAAAGAGAAGAAGAGGGGTTGGTGAGACAGAACTGGGTCTGCAGTGTGCAGCCTGCATGGAGAGGTGAGAGCAAAGCCGGTGGCAAGCTTCCTAATGACTCTGGAGGAAGGACACAGAGGTGCTAGCAGGAAAGTTGAGATATGGGAGGGTCAGGCAGGATGTCTGCTTGTCCTGTGTGACACTAAGTGACTGCAGAAGCCTGTGTCAGATGGACGCTTTGCAACCAAACTAAGCTCTGCCAAGTATCTGATTGCAAAGTTCTTCCTGCTAAAAGCATCCAAGTTATTCTGTCTCCGTATTCACAGAGAGTGCAATAGAACACACATAGCTCTCTGATTATAACAAAAACATCGCTCCTCATTTTACAGATGGATGCCTATGACTAAAGTGAGATAGAGAGAGAGAGAGAGAACCCTCTCATTATAGAGTCTGCAGACTGCCCAACTTGACTCAAAGAAGGGCTGAGGAAGATACAAAGCAAATAGGATAAACTACCAATTCATGTGCCTAAACCCTTCCTTGCTCTGTGTATTTCCAAGGCAGGAGCTCCAATCTACATCAGTTAGGCCGTTCCTCTTGTTACAGCCTGATCCCACCAGTCACATAGCTCTCATCTCTAAATTGCTCATTATAATTTCAACTGCACTTAATATCGCTTGGATTAGCCAGCGTTTCCTTGGGTTGAGCCAGCTGGCCGAAGGCAGATCATTTGATTGAACCACAAAAGAGACAAACATAAATACTTAATTTCTTAACCTCTTTGAGGCAAATTGCTTGTGTACCTTGTGTAAATATACATTTGTGTGAATAGTACGTGAGCGTGCACATTTACGTGTGTATACATCTCTGTAAGTACACATACATTGTGCATCCACATAGATTTTTGCATTAGTGTATCTGACCAGAAGAGGTGGGATGCTATTCAACTCTTGAATATGAAACTAAATACATGTGAGATAATCATGGCCACAGCTCTCGAAAGATTCAATTTCCAAGCTGGGAAAATAAGTTGAGCAAAGGACATGAGCACAGAAATATAAAGGGAGGGAACACTTAAGGCTTCCTTGCTTCCTCCCTGCCCTCTACTGTTTCTCTCTGTTAGACACCATTGGCAGAGTGCAGGGTGTCACACACGGCTGCCTTTGGGGTGACTTAGCCACCTACATACTGAAAAGGTTAATGGTGTGGGACTCTGAACCATCTCAGGTGAGCTGATAACTCTACAGGCCCCAATGGCTGCAAGAGCACTGTTCCTACTCACTTCGTTTTCCAGAAGAGTTACAGATCCACGAAGGCAAAACCATCTAGGCTCAATAAGAAGCAAGTCAAGAGCGTTCATCTCAGTCTGTGCTCTATGACCTCAGGGCACAACTCTTCCTTGCAACAAGGTGGCTTGAGAGGGCTCGGAGTATCCCTCCAGCTACTGCTAGTCAAGAGAGACCATACTAGAGCTAACTAGGATAGAATATTCTTGGCATTTTCCTAGAAGGAAAGAGAGGAGTCAGCTTGCGGGTTATGATTTGGCCTCGGGAGTATTACACAGAGTGCACCTGGCTGAAAGAGAGAGAGAGAGAGACAGAGAGACAGAGAGAGAGAGAGTGTGTGTGTGTGTGTGTGTGTGTGTGTGTGTACCGGCAGGGCTGAACCCTCACACAGAGATTTACCTCCTTACTTAGTCTACTGCTGACCTGGGGTGGGGCTGAGGGTCCTGGTTTTATTTTCTATGTTATCTCTATCTCTACTAAGGTTGGACTGCACAGCTGGCGGACCTGACCATCCACTCACCCTGCCTGGAGAGTGATCAGGCACCCTCCTGCCCTTCAGAGGCCAGGGAGTCTTGATCAAGCCACTTAAGGGGACCACTAAACACAGCAGAGGCTTCATCTAGGCTGGCGGAAGGCTTTTTAAGCCCCCGCTGTGTGAAATAGTATACCAAAACCCATCACCTGCTATGGATTGTTTTTGAATATCTACTCAAAGAAAGTTTCACAATGAGTGCTGTTGAAGAGCATTTTCCTGCCTTGTAAGGAAAGCCGAGCGCATGTGTATGGCTGGATTTTGCTTTCTTGAGATGGTTCTCCTTTGAAGAGCTTCAAACCTGGGTACCTTTCTGGTCTACCTGAAAACTAACACTGGAACTCAGATTACTTCCAACTTTGTTATTTTCCAATTCAACTTGGGATGGCGGTCAAAGAAGATCAGATCAGTGTGTACCTCGGATTTAGCTTCCTTCCTGGAGCTCCGGTACCATGGCCAGACAGAGGCACCACCTGGCCTCAGACTTTAAACCTAGGAAGCCCCTATGAGCCACACCGCTCCCTTAGCTTTGTCTACATCCCTGCACTCAGGAGGCCTCAGGGCTGACGGCTGGCTGGCTGGGTGAGGACTCACCACGTGCTCACTCGTGTCACGGCTGAAGGCAGAGGCCTGCTGGCTTTGATAGTACTCCAACTGCTTCTCGGCCAGTTCCACCCGCTGCAGCAGGTTCTCAATAAAGACCTGGAGCCTCGCTTTTCCTTGAACCTCCTTCTCAGCAGCTGCTTCCAGGAAGTGGTTGAATGTGCAAACTTCTCTGCAAGGACAAAACACACTGAAGTGACGCTGGAAGTCATTCACTCATTGCGTCCTGACGGGCACCTGTCGGTTCTGAGAGCCGCCACAATGGCGGGAGGGATGGGACTGGAAGTTGATGGAAAGTCACCATGGAACATAAAAGCAAATGCCTATGTCGGGGGTTAGGTTAACAGCCCTGAAACTAGGTACAGGGTGACAGAGCGACGGGGATGGGAGAGGCAATATTTCAAAAAGCAAAGTCAATATCAACATTTTAGATGGAGACACCAGAAGAAGGCCTTGAGGGAGAAGCCATGGGGACACGTCAGAATCATAAACTAGGTGTACTAGAGGCAGACAGACGGATCGGAGCCGCTGCCAGGATGTGTGCAAGGAGAAAGCAGCTGGGACACTCATAGGTCACAGGAAGACCCCAGACTTGTGAAAAAGGGGAGGAGAGGCCGCTGAGAACCACATCTTTATCTTCCTAGGGATTGGTAGGAAGTATTAAGGTTAGATCTGAAGCCGTAGCTTGGTTGGTGGAGCTATGCCAGCATCCACAAAGCCCCAGAACCGCATAAAAGCGGGCATGGTGGTGCTGGTATATAAGCCCAGCATTCGGGAGCTGGAGGAAGGAGGATTAGGAGTGTAAGGTCATCCTCAGCTAGCTAGTGAGATCAACCTGGACTACAGAAGACCCTGCCTCACAAATAGCAAAAGGGGGAGGCAACCGCACTGCAATTATAACTTCTTTAGTAATTATACTCCAAACCATAAAACACAAGGCACCCGACAGAAACGCGCATCTCAGTGTAAGAGAGCAGCATGGCCGTGATCTGGCTTCAGATTCCACGGTGGAGTTACTCTTTTAGAAACTTCCGGTTGTTGCAGAGTTTTTGGTGTAATGTCATCTGCTCTCTCTGCAAAGGAGATCCATATACCCCTCAGCCGCCCCGCCGGGACTCTGTGTGATCCCAGACTCCTTTCATGTATTTTAACCAAAATATTTTTTTTTAACCAAACTGAACACAGAGCTAGTAAAGCCTAGCTGTGCTTGGTGAAGCTAGATATTAAAAGTATTTGCAGGGTGCGTAAAAAGGCTTGGTGGGGAAGACGGTTTGAAGCATGAGCCTGCAAAGAGTTTGGTCTCCAGAGGCCCCAAAACTTGCCCTTTGACCTCCATGCCACATCAACACTCCTCTACACATGCAATAATGATGAATAAAATTTTAAAGTAAACAGTATTTGTGAAACTTTCAAAACAGTGTCCCTCTTCTTACTAAATTGTTTGGGGGGGATAACTATTTTTCACACAATCTGTGGTTTGTGCCAACGGTTGAAATGCTTCGTGTGGTGGCTTGGGCAGACATTACAGTCCGTAGATCCTGAAACACCCAACGACAAGGCTCCGGCTAAGGGAAAACAACGTGAAGCAAACCCGAGGAAAGTGAAACTCTTTCGTGGTTTTAATTTAGGGTCTTGCCTTGCTGAGTCACAACACTGCGTGAGGCACTCCCGCAGAGGCCAGGTACAAAGATAAGGGCCAACTTCAGTCAGGGTGCTGGGAGAAAAAAAAAAAAACATCCCTTTAACCGCTCCTAAATCACTTCCTGTCCCATCTTTGACTTTTCCCATATTTAAAAAAAAAAGTAAAATATTATTAAATCCAACATTTTAAGGAAAATATGCCTAGTAAAAGTACCATTTGACCTTAAAGGGGGAAAATGCCAGTTACAGTGTAATAAATTGACACTGATTCTCATTACTACGCAGACTGATATGCAGCCCTGGGACTCGGATCCAGGCCCAGGACTCAGAGGCCTTGGAAATCAACACAGCCGAAGGAGGCACAGGGGAAAGCCCTTTCTATATAGCAGGAACCTTAGTGACAAGAAAGCATTTGCTTGCTCACCCATTCACTGCTTTATGGGACAGCCATAAACTCTGCAGGCTGAACACCGATACTTTTCTTTATTATTACATTTATGTATTTATCCCACGTGTGTGTGCGCGCGTGCACGTGAGAGCACTCTCACAAGCACGCATGCACACGCCACAGTGTGTATGTGGAGGTCAGAACACAACTCACAGAAGTGAGTTCTCTCCTCCTACCATGTGGATTGTGGGGTTCAAACTCGGGCCTTCGGGCCTGGTAACAGAGACCTTGCTAAGCCATCTCATCCACCCCTTATGTTTACATTTTTAGAGACGGAGGGCCCCGGGCTACTTCTTCTGAGATGAGTTAAAGGCAGCTAACCTTGGGGGGAGGGGGGAAATCAAAAGGCACTGTCAGGTGATCAGCACACCGAGCGGTGAATTTAGGAAGTGACAGAGGTGATGAAGAGATGGCTCCGTGAGTGAAAAACGGCTGGGTGTAGGGGCTCTGGCTTCAAATCCCAGCACAAGAGAGGTGGAGACAGAGACAAGTGGATCTGTAGGCATCACGGTCCTGCAATCCTACATCCTAACCCACTTGGTGAGCTCAACCACCAAGGTTGAGATACACTGTCTCAAAAAGCAAAGTGGATTGCACTGAGGAACCGAGGCTGACGTCTGGCTTTCATACACACAGACAAAACACCACACACACACACACACACACACACACACACACACACACACACATATACATACACGAGCTTGAAGCATACACATTATTAAGGAGGGACAATGTACGGCCCCTGTCACCTCTTGCAGCTGGCTAGCAAAGACCATTTCTTATCTGTGCGGCTTCCTTCATTCCAGCACTATGTGCCTTATGGTAAGTCTTACCTATGCTGTTCTCTCAGCCAGAGCCTCTCCCTAGGCCCCTGTCTTAGTGCTCTTTCTAACCTCAGGCTCTCCCTGGAGGAGACACTCCTACCTGTAATCCCCCAAGTGTCGTGACAGAGGGCTGCGTACCCCCACAGGACCCTGTCAGGGCACACATCATAGGATACCGGTTGTGGGACTTACCCATTTCATCATAAAATCGTTGAGTTGGAGGAGCATGTTAGTTGCTGGCCTTGCTATGGCAAAAGGCATCACAGAAGCATCTTAACAGCAGAAACAATATTTTGTCCTGGAGGGCGCCGTTCCTTGGAGGTCAGGAGCTTGAAGCTGCTGGTCCATGGTACCCACAGTTAGGAAGGAGAGAGGGATGCATACCGGTACTCCGTTCATTTTTTTCTTTTTTATTTAGTCTGGGACTCCAACCCACAGAACACTGCTGCCCACATTTCAGATGGATCTTTCTGCTCAGCTACCCTAAGTGAGATAAGCCCTCTCAGATGTGCCCTGAGATTTGTCGCCACGGTGATTCTAAATCCCGCCAAGTCGACCAGCAAGGTGTGTGACCCCATCGGGGTCATTTACTGTGTGTAGTCCACAGGAGTCCAGCAGATAACAGAGACCTAAGAAATTCTTAATGAAGTGCAAATGTACAACCAGAGCTCCAGCTGAGCATCCCAACCCACAGAAAAACCCCTTCAGCTTCCTTTGTTCCTTTCCAGACAGTCTCTGGGCACAAGCCAATGACTAAACCACAGACACCTCCTACTGGGGTACCGTGGGATCTAAAATGGTCTCCTGATCTCCTCTCAAAAATCACAGCACCTTCCCTTCCCCAAAGGAAGACTCAAATGAGTTCTTTAAATTCTATTTTGCATTACTGATTTATGAACCTATCCAGGAGTATATGAAATGATTAAAAATACCTCCGGCTAAAAATAGTCCTAAACTATTGATCACACAGCACCTCAGATGATCTGTAACGTCAGCAGTGAAGCAAGCCAAAAGCAAAAGGCGAAAGAATCACCCCCTTCCAGGCCCCCGGAGCCCAGCTGCAAGCTTGGAAGCCAGAGTATGGTCCCTTGCTCCCCCAGGGAGCCACCCAAACTTGAGACTTGCTTCTCTGCTGTTTTCTGGCCCCTTGCCTCGCTTTTCTCTTTTGGCTTTTTGAATAAACAAGTATGCTCTTTATTAAGTTTTTTTTTTTTTTTTGGTGGGGGGGAGTGGTAGATTTAGGTAAAGTACCTGCTACAAGCATCAGGGTCTGAGTTCAGATCCCCAAAACCCACGTGAAAGCTGACTTGTAAAGACATCTGGCACCCCAACGCTAAGCAGAGGAGCAGGGAAAGATGAATCCCTTGAGCTCACTGGCCGGCCGGCCTAGCTGAACTGATGAGTTCCGGGTTCAGTGAGAGACCCTGCCTTAAAAGCTAAGATAGAGAATGCTGAAGGAAGCCACGTAACATTGACCTCTGGCCTCACACCCCCCCACACACACCCACACACAAACTGCACACACCTACCGAAGCATGTACGTATCATATACATACATGGAGATTTTCTTAAAAACTTTTTCTAGTTAGAAAATCAAATTAATTTATTGATTCCAAGCAGATTAATACTACATTCTAAACTGCTCAGGTAGGATGAGAAAAAAAGAAAAAAAATGGAGAGAAATACAGAACCAGAAAAAAAAATCTTGGGATTTCTAACATTTTTTTTTGGCGTTATTCCTAAGAAAACATGTTTAACGGCCTGTTTATTTTGTATCTGTCTGTATGTCAGAAAGCACCAGAGATTGTTTACAGGGCTGTAGAGATGACCCAGAGGTAAACAGCACCAGCTGATCTTGCAGAGGACCTGCCTTCAGTTCCTAAATCGTGCACAGTGGCTCACAACCATGTCACTCCAGTTCCGGGGAGAGAGACGGGTCTCCCTCTTCTGGCCTCCACCGGCCCTGTGCCCACATGGTGCAGAAGCACACGTACATACAAACGCTCACACACATAAACGGAAAGCGAATGAATCTTAGAGATGAACTAACAGTGTGGGAGCCACAGATCCGTCTTCACCCCCTCAACCTCTGCTTCTCACGGGATGTCTTCTGGCCACTTCCCTAGATGACACCATGTTGTCCACTCCCTGCTTTAGCTGGTCCCGAAACGGAAATAGCATCAATCAATACTCAGTGTTGCCTTTGTGTATGTGTATGCAATATGCACACATGCCAGTGTGTGCCTCATGCACGCG